TTTCATGCCACTAGAGTCACATTTTCATGCCATACACAATTATGTTTGTAAGGCTGCGAAATATTGGTCCTAGGACCTTTTAGTACACCAATCCTCATATCTCGACTAGCTGAGTCGATCTAGACATGAGTGTTCGTCCATCTAGTCTTTTCATTATAATTAGTAAACAGTCCACAGTAATTGAAATTTTGCATGTTGGATGGGTTCCGGCCAAAGAAGACCAAAAAAAGACATCATACACATATTCCATCATACATTAAGAGTGGATATGTAACATTGGTAGTTAGAACATACACCCGCAGCTGCATCATTTTTTATTTTTATAAAATTGAATTACAAATTTCCATAGCAAATAAATATATATTATATTTATTATACATATTTCCTCAATACGTCTATCACCTAACATTACGGAAGAAGATAAATACAAATATATATTATTTCCTTTGTACAACAAAGCAATGTGCTATTACATACATATGAATGAAACTGTAGCATTTTAATTGTAGGTGTTGTCATAACTCAAGGTCAGTTTATTCAAAACAATAACAAAAAATGTTTACAAAAACATCGTTGTGCAATGAATACAATCATCCTGTTAATAAACAATCGTCAAACATATCGCATGCAACTCTTCGAGCAAATAAAAAATAACAAACCATAGACAACAACATAGTAGTGCCATCTATTTTTCACATTGATTGCCACTAACTTGAATCAAAACAAAAATGCAGTATATGCTTTCGACGTCTAGGTGGCGCACACGTTAAGGGATAGCACTCAGTATTAGTCTATCGTAACGTTAACGTAACAACACAATAACAGCAGCGATTGTATTATTGTCGTTTTTAGTTTATTGTTTTTAAGTACCTATAGTCACTATAATGTACCAAAAATAATGTCTCTCCTTAAGGACATGATTGGATCACCGCTTTCAAAAATGTAATTTCGAGAAAAATTACATTTGAAATTTACATATATGTACACTCAAACAACATAACGGATTCTTACCCTAAAATAACTGTGGTTTGTTGTATCGAGTTTGTCGCCTATTATGACGATATCTCTTTATATTTTCATCATGTAACAAGAATAAGCATGGTTATGCTTCTTCAAAGTTTTGTTAATTTTCTTTTATTACAAATAATATCAACCGATTTCATCAAAAATTTTAGTTTATTTCTTCCATACCTAGTTAAAGTTAGAAGATGGGGAATATCGGTCCACTTATTCATGTAACTCCCCACAAAATGGTGAACATTTTGCTTAAAATTTATTTTATAATATCATGCAAACGGACTATCCGATTTGAACCAAACGTTGTACATCCTAGTATCTTTACTAAGTCCAGATCAAGTCCAAAGATAGAACACATTGGTCCACTACTTCTTGTACCTCCCCCACAAATGGTAAAAACTTTAAATATTTGTAAATCAAATATCAGGTGAATGGAATATCCGATTTGAACCAAATTTTGCACAGCCTGTTATCTTTACCTATCCAAGATCAGATCCCACGATGGGACCGATTGGTCTACTCCTTCTGGTACCTGACAAAAATGGTCAAAATTTTCAAAATTTTAAATATAATATCAGGAATGTCCAATTTAACCAAACTTTACACGACCTATTATCTTTACTATGTCTAGATCAGGACTGAAGATGGGACCTATTGGTACACTCCTTCCGGTACCTCCCCAACAAATGATCAAATGTTTATATATTTAAAAAAATCCAATATCAGGAGAATGGATTCTCCGATTTGAACCACATTTTGCACAATTTATAATCTTTACTAAGACTAGATGATTGCCGATCCAATGCAATTAGATAGAGTCGAAAATTGGCAAAGTGGTGATCCTAGGAAAATTATTCTCTTGAAAATAACCTATTTTCCATCAAAAACTAAGCTGGAAAATAAGGAAGATATTCACCGACTGTATATATTCTAGTTCATAAGATATCTATGTAGGTCCACAATAAAGTGTTAAAATTTGGAACCGATTGGAACAATAGTTTTAAAGTTATCTTGGCCGCCAATAGTAAAATCTGTACTTCGGGAAAAACACAAAAGTGCTCTTGCTGTCACCTGCCGCTTAAAAAATAAATTGAATATACATATATACAATAATTTTTCAGTTAAAAATTTAAAGAGACATTCTGGAGAATTTATAGGTTCGAATTATATAAAAAAATCGATTTATTTGAAATTAAGAATGGATAGGGTCCCCATAAATGTGATTTTATTTAGACGTCTCAATTGTTCGACAGCAGATTCTGATTAGGCAGACCTAGGAAAAGTGCCCAAAATTTAATACAAATGTTAGGCGGTAAATCTACATAGGTACCATCTGATTACAGTTTTATCTCAGGGTGGCTTGTTCTATCAAATCAAAATACATATATTGTGTACGAGGACAGTTTGGAAGGTTCTCAGTCTAGCACAAAAAGAGCAATATATTCAGAAAAAAGTAAAGTGTTTTAAAAATTTCCATCTTTGTTATGATATTCTTGGAATTCCCCACAGAATTTTTAGAAGAAATCATAACCTTTCATTTATTTTTAATATTTATACCCTACACAACTATGTTGTCAGGGTATTACAGCTTTGTGCAGCCCCAAGAGTTTGTAACACCGCGAAATATTGGTCCTAGACCAGCCTTCAAGTATACCGATCGTCATATCTCGACTAGATAAGTCGATCTAGGCCTGTGTGTCCGTCCGTCTTCTTCACGAAATTTTGCATGTAGGATGGGTTTTTCCCAATGAAGGTCCCTATTGTTTTTGTTAAAAATCGGTTAATATTTAGGGGATGAAATGGACCAAAAACTTTATTTTTGTCCGGTTTTGTAATCGCTCCAGAGGCCGCAATTATGGTCCAAACATCGAATTTTTACATGAAGAAGGGAATCAGGCCAAAGAATAAGCACGCCTGTTTTGATAAAGGTCGGCTAATATTTAGCGAGTCAAATGGACCCTGTTTGTGTGAAAAATGAGAAAATTTATATTCTATGTCGTATATATTTACTCTTGAAGTACGTAGACCCGAGAAGTTGATAGTATATCCAAGAGGAGTGATTAACCATTAAATTAGTATAAATTATTGGTCTGTTCCAGTACTGCAAGAATCTACTAATTTTTACTATTTTTCATAAAGGAAAACTTGTTATCGTAGTAAATAATTGTAGATTCTTGCAGGTTCTGCAACATACCATATATTGTCGTATGTCCTCGGATTTGAGATACACTTAAATATTTACAGTTGCTTACGTATTCCGATATTATTAAGTAACCCATTACCACACTAGAGGGCGGAAATATAACACTGGTCGATTTGAAATTTTCCATTGGGTTCCAGTTATGGTCAAGGATAGCGCTTATAATTTTCGGTGATTATCGGATAACAATTTTGAGAAGAAGTGGGCCGAAAACTTAATTTTTTGTGTTTTTTGGATTCGATATACAGGCTATAATTATAAGACGAACATCACAACACAATGCACAGTGAAGGGAATCTGGACAAGTAATTAGAAGGGCTGTACTGAATATTAGTATTATTCGGGAAATATACCAGTGTAAGGAAGAGGTGCTGTTGACCTCTAATCGGGCAAGAGAGTGCAAATATCACGAAATATTGCCCAGGCTCGAAATAAGCGTCCACAGAAAGTTAGAGTTCCGTGGTAGTTGTGTAGGGTATCGTATGGTCAGCCCCGTCCGACTATACTGCTCCGCTCACTGGTTTTACTTATGTGTTGAAAAAATATCACATAACCACAACAACCTGTTGTGTATGTTTATTTTATATTTGACAGAAGAAGCCACTACCTATATAGTTGCCTTTTTTTAGTCATTCACCTCAAGCTGTCCTGACCATGTATTATTGTACCGTGATTGTAATGCCTCTTTTTACGATTTTGGGAAATTTAGAAAGTGCTCCATTAAATTGGTACTTCCCAATGGACTAAAAAATCTCTTTGAAAAGAGTTGTCGGTGTGTGCCACTGTTTGTAATATTCCCCATGGTATAATTATTACAAGGTAGGGCACAGCTACCAACTGATTACAATTTTTTCTCAAGGTGGCTTGTTCCATCAAATCAAAATGTGTTTTGAAAACAATGTCAAATAAATTCAAAATAAATTGAAAAATATTCAAATTTAATTGAAAGGAAATTAATTTTTTAACACGTTCGTCTGGAAATAATTACTTTATTATAGATGAAAGAAACAATTTATAGTATTCCCTACAAGATTTTGGGAAGAAATCATAACCTTTCATTCATTTTTCGCGTTTTTAGTTTCGTGTTGAAAAAATGTCAAATAAACACAAACACTTGTTGCGTATATTTATTTTTTTTTTGGCAGAAGAGGCCACACGTGCCATAGTTGCTTTTTTGTTATTCACTCAGGGTGCCCTACCTTGTATTATTGTACCATGCTACTACATACCATAACATTTGCCGCAGCAACAAGTACTCAACGTAACGTAAATTCCGTTACTTCATTAACTAACCACAGCACAACCACTCGATGGGCAACTCAAAAACAGCTGTTTATCGACCAGCGCTGATAGTCACTGTCAAAAAGCACGAACGAAAACAAAACAAAAATATCCAATTTGACAAATTACCAATTGGACACACAAATTGGAGTCATAAATAACAACATATTTATCTCAAAATTTGGAGAAAGCGATTATCACATTTTGGATGTGAAACAACGCATAAATGTCCCGGGACAGTGTAATAATACGCGGAAAAGATTGTTGGTGCAAGAAAGACGCGAAGACGACGACGGTAGTGACTAAGAAACAAAGCGACGGCAAAACGACCAGAAACGTAAAAATATAATAGAAAAAAGCAAAGCGAAACAAAAAATAAACGGAAGATTGTGAAGAAAACCTCGACGTAAAGGGGATTTTTTTTGGTGGTCAGTGTTAAGGATTGATTGCAAAAGCGGGCGACATACACGATTTGTTGCAGAAGCACCTTCTTAGCGTAAAACGGCATTGAGATGGCTCAGGAAGATCAAGAATATCGTCAGGCCATAATCAATCGTTTACGGGAACGTAATAGGCGCGATGTGTTGCCATTTAAAGAAATCATACAGCAAAGTAAGTCTCTGGTACAATTACAAGAGCAACAACAACACCAACAACAGTCGATGGCTGGCAGGCAGCATCCATCAAAAGCTGCACCACTGAGAGCAGCGCATCAAAAAAGACATTTGTAAAGCGAGGAAGAGAAGAGGGTCAAGGTCGTCTATAGTTTGTGTTTATAAAAATTGTACGGTGCAGGGATGCAAATGTTGGTACAATTGTACTAATTTTAGCACTATTTGGAAGTCAAAAATACAATAGCACCCCAATGACATATTTAGCACTATTTCTAAATTGTATCAAACTATTCTCACTTAAAAGTATTATAAGGGCTTAAACATACAATATTAAATGGATCGCTATCCCCCGCTGTCGTAACGAATGGATGAATTTGCCATAGTTTAAACGTAGTGTCCTATGCCAATTCAGTATTCAGTATTCCCGATCAGATTGATAAATTCAGTAAAGATATCAATTATTATTTTTGTAACAGTTCTATGAGAGAGATGATTTTTCATTGTTTCAGGAATATTTCGGTACCGATATTTATGTTGTTTTTAAATACTCAACAACTCGATGGCTTTCACGTCAAGAAGTTATTGAAACAATTTTGGCGCAGTGGGAATCACTTCAATATTATTTTAATGGTTTCGAAGCTGATTCCCAAAAGTTAAGGCGCAATTCTATTATTTCAGAATTTTCAAATCCTTTTTATACCTTTCACCACACTGTGGTACAGGGTATTATGTCTTTGTGGATATGTTTGTAACAGGCAAAAGGAATCGAAATAGACCCATGGTTCCTTCTGAGAATAAGCATAGAATCACATTTTGAGTCGATTTATGCATATCCGTCCGTCCGTCCGACTGTATTTTTGTGAACAAAGTACAGGTCGCATTTATTATCCGATTTGAATGAAATTTGGCACAGGTGACTTATTTGGCCCAAGGACGAACCCTATTGAAATTGGGGAAAACGGTTCAGATTTAGATGTAACTTCTATATAGTTTCGTACGATTTTATGTAAATGGTGCACCAAACTCCCAATATTTTTCCGATTGAGACAAAATTTTGCACGGAGTACTGAATTACGTCTAGGCTAATGTTTATGAAGTTTTGTTGAAATCGGTTCAGATTTAGATATAGCTCCCATATATAGTTTCGTCCGATTTTATGCGAATGATGCACCAAACTCCCAATATTTGTCCGATTGAGAAAAAAATTGTACAGAGTACTGAATTAGGTCTAGACTGATGTGTTCCAAGTTTTATTGACTTATTTATTGGCAGATTGTATTAAATTGAATTTTGAGTCATGTGTATTAAGGGAACCACTGGTAAATGAATACCAATGCTTGTTGAGGTTTGAGATTTAAAAAGGTTTTTGTTGTTGTTTTTTTTGTGATTAAAGAAAAGTCCTTATTTTTGATGGCGGCATGATAACTGGAACAGCAGAATCTTAAAATTCCAAGGGTGTTAGATGTCTAGATCTCGTATGAACTAGGATTGTTGACTTCGCACAACAATTAACAAAATGGCGGAACTTTTAAATCGATTGGATTATTAGTTTTTGAGTTATCGTGCCCGCCATTCGCAAAAAACGCTTTTTGGAGAAAAACGCGTTTAAAGTTTGAGAAACCTTTTGCCGTCACTTGATGCTAACACAATAAATCAATCGGCTATATCTTAAAAAATGTTGAGATTTTCTCTTGAAAATTTATAGGGGCATTCTTGAATTAGTGTAGGTTCGAATTAAATCAAAATACAAAACTAAATTTTTTGAAACCGAAATGGTGTATGCAACGGTTACTCAATTAGGTACATATTTGCATATAACTATAAAATTAGAAATGCAGTCTGAGAATGCCAGAATGCATGTAGAAATTTTTAAGTCTTTCAAAAACGACAATATATGCACTTGTTTGTCAATGATGACTGAAGTCAAAAACGAACTAAACGAAGATATGTTTCCTTATTTATCACAAATTTTTAGAGGGTTATTATGTATTCCACATTCATCTACAAATGTGGAAAGGATATTTTCATATCAAAATTTAATTAAAACCAAAGAAAGGAGCAGAATACATGCTTCGACTGCTTCAAATCTTAATTAATTTTTTTATGTATGTTTTTATTAATTGTTAATAACAATACAAATTTTATTAAAAATATAAAAAAGTACAATCGGACTGAAAAAAGTACACTTTTTATTGAAAGCCAGTACAATTTGAATAATTTCATTTCGCATCCCTGGTACGGTGTGTTTTTGTGTGAGTGTGTGTGTGCGTGCGTGCTTGTGATATTTTTGTTTTGTTTATTTGTTGATGCTGAAACAAGGAGGACAACGACGATGAAGATGATGATGCCGATGTTGGTGTTGACACTGCTGCCGCTTCTGTTGTTGACATTACAGAAAAAATTATTGGATTTTTTTTTATAAAATTTACTATTTTTCCTTCCAGATAATCGCCTACTGGACAGTGTTGCCCAGTTGAAATCGGACAATTTAAAAATATCCGTAGAAAATGAACAGCTACGCACGGCCATCTCAACAGGTGTCGGTGGCGGTAAAGATAGCACAGCTGCCCAGTTGGCCATTGCCGCATTGGAAAAGAAACTTCTGGCCCAGCAGGAAGAATTAACCTCCCTGCATAAACGTAAAGGAGAAAATTCCCAACTAATCGTTGATTTAAATTTAAAAATGGAAAAACAACAGCAAATCATTGCCAGCAAGGAACAAAGGTAAAGTTGGGGGACTAAGGAGTAGGAGTAAAATCTTATTTGCTTTAATTGAATTTTATAATTTTACTTTTCTACTTCCTTCCTTGTACGCGGCGTGTGTAGCCTTGCAGAACAGAAAAATACCAACGCTTCCTTAAAGGCTGAAGTGCAAATGTTAAAATCCAGTCTCGAGGAATTGAAAAATCTCAATACAACATTGCGTGATGAATATACCGCCTTACAGTTGGCTTTTAGTGCATTAGAAGATAAGTTGAGAAGTGTTCAGGTGAGTAGAAGTGGAAATGTAAAAAAAATATGTGTAATGTAATCAAGGGAAAATGTTGTTAAAAAGGGAAGTGTGTGTGTCATACCATCGACCAATTTTAATTTATCAGAGAGCGATTTATTATTACGTTTACTTGCATCATTGTCATCGACGTTAAGAGGTTATCAGTATACGTTTAATGGTTATTGCCATTTATAAATAGATTTTACGAATTGTTTACGTTGTGTAAGAATACCTTGGTTCTTTATATGTCCTATTAAAAATGCATTAAAAATATTTTTTTCTTAGCCAATGCCTATGTATTTGGCCCTTAACAATTATATTATGAATATTTACACCCTTCTGAAAATAGCCTTACCCCTTTATATTACACCCTATCACAAATATTCAAGTAAATGTTAATTGCAATGAATTCTCTTTCTCGATATTAACTATCGACGATTTTCCATTGAAGGCTGGAAACTTTGCATAAATTTGTTTAAAATATTTAAGGAGAAGAAACCAAATCTGTAATAGTTTAAAGTGAATTATCTAGAGCTCTTCTTTCCAGCATTCCCTTCCCTTGGAAGGGAATGGAATAGTTGTAAACAAAAATTCACAATTGATAACAAATAGTTTGTACCGTGTATGAATTAGGGTTATTTTGTCTTAGTTCTTGGGTAAGTTTTTTCTTGGTTGACCACAATTTCGTTATAATTGGAGATTTAATTAAGGGCCATTTTGGCTGAGCTACAGATTTTTTCCTTAAATTTCGTTATAGTTGGAGATTCCATTAAGACCATTTTGGCTGAGCTATAGACTATTTTCTTAAATTGTCTCAATTTCCTAGGTTTTTTTTTTTTTTTTTTGGAAAAGGTGTAACCCCTAAGGTGTAACCCTTAAAGAACTTAGTGTATAAATAGATTTCAGAGTCCAATTACTCATTGAAGAAGTGTTTCTGATATTTAAAAAAATATCGGTTTCAATAAATCGATTTTTATACCCTACACAACTATGCTGTCATTATTTTATTATAGCCTTGGGCAGCCCCAAGAGTTTGTAACGCCTCGAAATATTGGTTTTAGACCCACCTTTACGTGTACCGATCGTAATATCTCGACTAGGATGGTAGAATGGGTTATGGTCAATGAAGACCCCTATTGCTTTTGGTAATGATCGGTTAATATTTAGGTAATGAAGGGGACCAAAAACTTTATTCTTGTCAGTTTTTCTGGTCGCTCTAGAGGCCACAATTATGACCCGAACACCACGAAATTTTGCACCAGGAAGAATAAACATCACTGTTTTGATGAAGATCGTTTATTCTATGCAGAACACATTTCATCATGGAAAAGGGAATCTGACCAAATGCTTAGATCGACTGTTGATGATCGGTCAAATCAACCAAAACCTAAAGTGACCAAATTTTTGCTTTATGGCGTAAATATTCATCTCTCGAAAATACGATTTGGGAAGTATTCCAGGGTTAGAAAGTGGAGCTGTTGAAAGCTAGATTTTCGTTGTATTTGAGTAGGGTATCATATGGTCGGCCCCGTCCAACTATAATCCTCCGCTCTGGAGCAGTATATTCATACTGACTTCAAGCGGCGCCATGAATGATTTTTAAACATTAAACTCGTTGTTAACAAAAGTCGGACTAATAATCCAACTAGTTCCAAATTATAAAATGTTATTCTCTTAAATGTAATCGGTCAAGGTCTTCCTTATTTTCTAGCTTGGTTTTTGGTGGAAAAAATTCTAGTTCCACCATTTTGCTAATTTTCGAGCGAAGTCAATAATTCTATTTAATACCAGAGCCAGATATGTACTCTTTCCAATTGGGTTGGAATTTTGAGATTCGGATGTACCAATGTTCGAAAAGAAGGAACATTGCAAGATATAACTTTAGGACAGAAGTTTACATTTTTCCAGATAAATCCTTAGCCTCATGTTCAGTTTTTTTTTTTAGTTTTTGCCTCACAGCTTTCATATAAAGGTCTCGTCTAATTTTCAGTATTTTTACGGTTTAATCGTATTCTTATATCGTTATAATGGTAGGCTCGGACGTACAATTGAATATATGTTACGTGTCGTACGGGCTTTGCTGGCAGGGGGTACAACTATTTAACAGTCCGGAGACAATGCGTTCTCGATACAACTTGAGAAGATTTCTATATCCAGATCATAGTTGGCCAGAATCGAACGAATTTGTATAGGAAGAAGCAACACATTAGTTGCTTGACTGACAGCATCTTGTTCTCCTCTCCCGGTTGCAATTCGGAGTGTATTATTCTAAATATTCCGTTTTTTGGAGGGTGATAATCAGGCTTGTAGAAAATTATCAATATAGGTAAAAGCTTTGGCATAACCCAACCCCCACATAAAGGTTTAATACGTGTTTCGTTTGTTTTATAAAGGTCCCCACCCTTTTCGGCATTTTGTAATTTCCCACTGAAGTGGATGTTATTTGGCATTCCGACAATGTTTAAGGTGTAAAACATCTTTCTATTTACATCCACGTTTTGGTACTTTCCCCATATGAAAGACCCAAACCTTTTTCAGTGTTTTGTAAGTTTTAGTAAAACTAACCAACCAATTGGCATTCGGAATTTTTAAAGGTGAAAAACATCTTTGCAGACGATTTTCAATATAGGTCGATGTTGTGACATATCTCCAAATTAAAGTAGGTCCCTTACATTTTCGCTATTTTGAAAGTTTAACACAAATTACCTTACTGAAGAGGCTGTAATTTTGCTATTTGGAATATTGTAAAGTGAAAAACATTTTAGCAGTCCCGCCCAATTTTTTTAATAGATCTGTAGATCTAGATCTGTATTTAAATTTATCAGATTATAAACAACCAACTAGCAGATTACTTACAATGACATAGTCTTCATATAAAAATCCCGAAGTCCCTACTGGTAGAAGCCGTTTAATAAAATATGAGTGAATATGCTAATCTACTATGAGATTTCTTTTCAAGAATTTATCATACATTCCGTTTCTTCGAAGTTGCTTAACTATATATATTAATAGTACAAGGATATCCATATGTTGACAATATCGATCACCTACGAAGGTAATAAAGTCATCGGAAATTTAACCTGCACTATTGGGTTCCAAATGTAATGATCATCTACTACAGTTTTCCTCCAATTGCCATTGTTATTGAATAACCAAATCTCTTTATTAAGACCATTCATAATAATGATTTTTCCAGTTCAATCACCTACCTCAACATTCAAACAAGTTTGCAACGACCGGTATATTAAAAAAATCCGGATATAACTGGTATTTTTCATATAAATCGAGTAAAAATCAGTTACATCCAAATGAGACAAATTTATGTTGGCTTCGTTAGCTGAAACGTTTGCAAAGTGTCCAAATACTTAGAATTATTAGCATATTTTTCTTAAAATAGTTTTTTTCTGGTTCATTTATTTTTATGTCAAGTATTTTTGTGTATTTTCCCTTTTTTATTCAATTAACATTGTTCAAATTTTTTGTGAAAATATTTGTTAAACTAATTTGCAAAAATAGTTATTTTAATTGGCCAATTGTTTACGGATTTGAGTTGAAAACGCAAACAGAAGTGTGTGTGAGAGTACGAATTTTTGGGGGGTAAGCATCCAAAAAATTTGTATGTTAAATATTTATCTATTTATGTTAAGAAAAGCATGTGATGCCATCCATGCGTTGGCTGGCGATAACCTTTTTTATTTACTCACGTTTATTTAGTCTTGGTTATTTGATTAAGATACAAATTAGCACCCCGTCACTTAACGTTGATAACGTAATTACGTTTTTGCGGCTATTTTGTTTGTTTGAAACATAAAAAATGAAGCTTAACTCGAAATTTTGTTTATAGTAGGTTCATTAAAATATTTGACAATTTAACGTTAGAAATCAGCATTGGCTGGCAGGCCTAGGTCATATAAAGGGCTCCTGTTAACTCCTTACGCAGGATGAAAATGCCAATTCAGTGTGTAGTTCTATAGATTCTATAACATTTGCGGAAGAAGATTCGATTCGGGCGGATTGGTAAGGATTTATTATAATATTATGCGAGTCATGTGATACCAAAAGAGGAGCCTATAGTTCCAGAATGATTATGGAAATTAAGTGGACTTAATTGAGAGGTGGGAGGCATTAGAATTGAATAGTGAAGATCATTAAAGGCCACAGCAAGCTATATCATTTCATATCGGAACCAAAAACAGCGAAACTCTCGAAATGAGTAACCGATTTCATTCTAACTTTGCATATCGTAATATTTATTCCAAACTTAGATGAAGTTCAAAGTTGGAGGATATCGGTCCATTCTGTTTTTAACTCCCCCATAAAATAGTCAAAATGTTGCTGATTTTTTTTTAATATCACGTGAACGGACTATTTGATTTGAACTAAATTTTCCACAACCTAATATTTTAACGAGATATCGAATTTTATCGAAAGTTTTGACCAAATAAGTCAACATTTTCTGGTCAAAGCGTCAACATTTTGACAATTTGTTAATCCATCGAGCTAATTGAATATCTGATTTGATACAAATGTAAATCAAGTTCGAAAATTATAAATATCTCATTTGAAGTCAATGGAATATCCCACTTAATCCAAACTTTGTCCATGAAAAAAAAAATAATATTTTAGATCAAGATATGTGACTTATCGCTCCCTTCCCTCGGAATGAAATTCTCTGTCCAATTCCCTGTCTCCTGAAATTATAACAGAGCTATGCTGATTCTTCTATGACATTTGATATTTAAACTAGGAAATACTATCCCACGGTTAGGTATAGCTCCAATGCTGTGAAGGGTAATAAACATGAATTCCATATCCAGCCACAGGCGTGATTTTTGTAAAAATATGTTTTCAACCACTAACAGAGCCACAGGCGTAGATTTTTTAAAAATATTTTTTCAACCACTAACAGTCATACAGATGTGGATTTTTTAAAAAATATTTTTTCAATCACGTGGTGTGGTTTTTTTTTTAAAATATCTTTCCCAGAGCCACAGACG